TGGGGAAAAACAATCGTTTTGGTTTGTGTGGTTTTAAGGAATGTGATGAGTGTAGTGTATGTGGTTTTATTGGAGTTTCAATGGTGATATGAAAAACTCTGGCGAAAAGTATTATCACCGCGAATATCGGGTTTTCCACAGAGTATTATGCCACTTCAAATGGATGAAATTACATAATATAAGTAGTAGTGGTGTATGGAGGCGCACTCGCAAGGATGTTGAGAATTGAATGTGACGGCACAAGTTTACTGTTAATCGAGGCGCGCACGTCTCCGTGTTGGATGGAAAACGCTCACTGAACGAATGTAGTGGTAGTAGTAGAGTCCAGAATATGGTTTAATATTAGATGTAGCCATGTTTTATGATGTAAATTTCCTAGTTATTGTGTGTAGAGTATATTGGTTCATCTCAGGATGGTGACCTTAGCACGTCAGGCTGGCTCAGTTGATGATTGTACCTGTCAAGTGGCCTTGGTGTATGCACCACCTGGTGAAGGGGAAGCGAAGAGCAGTGCGGTTAGGGAATCATAAGGGAATTATTGTAATATAATGGAGTTTCACCCGTAATATGAAAAACCCTAGCGAAAAACATATTTCACGACTATTACAGGCCGCGAATATCGCGTTTTTCACCGAGTTTTACGCCACTCTGCGTAAAACGGGTGAAATTCCAATATTACTGAATTTGGAGTGTGTCCTGGTTTGGGAAAAATACGTGTGTTGGTGACAATGCGAAAATTGGGAGGAAATTTTGGGGAATTGAAATTGATTTTTGTACACCGTTACCCCACTTGTATAAGTAGTGTGCAAATTCGTGAAATATATTCCTCCAGCACTGGAATTCCACCCGTTTTACGCGAAAAACACGGTAATCGCGGTCGTGAAATATATTTTTCACTAGTTTTTTTCATAGGGTGGTGAAACTTCATTGTTTGCAGGATAAAGCAGTGTCTTGAGTGCCCCACTGGGAAAAGTTGGATGTCCCTAAGTGGTTGCAGCTGATTGAATGAGAACTGATTTGGTATTTTTAGTATATCAACAGTTTGTTCTCCACCGTTAACTCGTGCTGTATTTTTATGCGCACCTGTGTCGAGTTGTAGTTTATCAGTCTTGGAAAGTGGCTGTGTCAGATGAAGTAGATATTTTGGTGAATTGTAGGGTTTCTCTAATAGGAGTAGATAGGAGGAGGTTTTAGTAAACTCCTTGTCACGATTTTTTACGAGTTTTCCTATTTTTTCCTGAATTTTCCCTTAATTTTTCCTAATTTTTTCCCGAATTTTCCCCGAATTTTCCTGACTTTTCCCGATTTTTTCAAGTTTTCTCAGATTTTTCTAGGTTGAGCCATTCGAAGGGGTAGGATGGCCACAGGAGGTTTTATGAGATGATATATTTCTGGAAGTGTGAGAGAGGTATGTTGCAGTTGCCTTAGTGATGGCTAGGGCGGCCGCAGATGAGGGGGATGTGATGAGAGTTGAGGATAGTAAAGGTTGCGCCTCTCCTTCGACGAGTGCTGCCTCTAGTAGTAATGGAGGAACGACGAGTGATGTTGTAAGTCTGTGGAAAAAAAGAGAGAGCTCGTTTTGAACTCTAGGACTCGAGAGTTTTGTAATTTCTCAGAAATTTTAAGTAAATTATTGGAGTTTCACGACCCCTTTTACGTGAAGTGGCGTAAAACTCGGTGAAAAACGCGATATTCGCGCTACGCAATAGTCGTGAAATAGATTTTTCACTAGTGTTTTTTTTTTCAATATCACTAGGGTGAAACTCCAATGATTCTTATAATGCAATGCTGAAACCGTAGAATTTATTTCAGCGGGGAAATGGAGAAGAGTGGTTGTTAAGTTGGATCGCCCTGTGAATTCATATGTCTGTTATTTCCTCACACAATTTGCTGATGAAATTCTCATTAAATTGTTTTCAGAGAGAAGCATGTGTTCAGTCTTCACCGTATTGTGGTGAGGATAAGGAAAACTCTGTGGAGATGCAGAGTGGGGGGAAACGGCGTCGTAGACGCAAAAGGTAATAATGGCGAATTCTGGGTTAAATGAGTGGAAATGGATACTGAAATTACTGGATATGCAAGTTTCATAAACGGTTGTTGTATTAATAATGGGAGTTTTTCACCCGTTTTCCGTGAAGTGGCGAAAAACATGATTTTCGAGCTATGCAGCTGTTTGTAAAATATATCTTTCACTAGGTTTTTCATATCACTAGGGTGAAACTTTATTACTTCAGGAAGCGCAAGAAGCGTGGTAGCAGCGCGGTTGAAGAAATGCACGAAGCGGTGGTGACCGTAGATAATGGGAATAACGATGAGGTCATCAGCCTGGCCTCGGACTTTGGCGTGGAAATGGAGGAGATAGTCACCTTACCAGTAGTAGAGGAGGAAGAGGAGAACCTCACGTTGTGGCGAGTAAAACAATGGGCCACGGAAATGGTATCATCAGAAGAGACAGAGTCGTCATGTTCGGATGATGATGAGTGTACACCGAGATGGGGAGAAGGGCAGGCGAATGGTAGTATGTTGGAGTTTCTGTGGGGGGAAGTGGAGGGGAGGAGCAGCACGGGGTGAGTTGGCCGGGCTTTGGGAAGAATGGGAGAGCTTGATATTGTAATCTATTTTTGTTGCAGAAAAATTGGAAAAAAAATTGGCGTATTTTTTGGTAAAAATATATAAAATTTATAGTAGAGTTTTTTCAGTAATT